TATTTAATTTATTTAAGTTATAGAGTTGTGAGTTTACATTTTTCTATAAATTTATTCTGACTTAAAAAAAAAAATCTAATTAGAAACCCTCAATGGGAAAATTAGTAATACCTCCTCCAATATAAATACGTATTAGTACACACAAAAAGATCATCAAAGCTGAGGTCCTTAACTTTATAAATTTTAAAAGGTGAAGTCCATATTCTATAGTTTTATATTTTTATATGACTAATTTACCCCTACATAGTCAAAGAAATTTCAATCAGATAAAATTTCTCTACCAAGTTAGAGAAATTTCAGTCAAATAAATTTTTGGTCAGAGAAATTTTTATTTTTTATTTTTTTTTTGAATTTCATATTCATCATAGATCTTATTTGATAGATCTTGATGAAAGAATTTTAAAAATATAAATTTTATAAAATACAGATATGTAAATCAAAAGTAGTTGAATTTTAAAATTTTTAAATCATTCCACAACAAAACAACGTTTCCTGGCTTTTTTTTGGTCCAAGAATAACCTCCACAAATTAGAGGACTTGAACTATGAAATATTTTTCCTTTGTCCTTGTACTAGCAAAACTTTTTAAGGAGTGAGCTCTAACTAAAATTCCTTGTATTTTGAAAATTAAAAAATTTGTGAAAAATAGTTTGAAACTTTCAAAAGACAAAGACCTCTTAACGTTTTGCAATTGTAAGTACAGAGCACAGATATATACGTAACCAAAATTAAAAAAATCAAAAAATCTATCCTGTATTCAAATTTAATGAGATAACAAATAACACTTAGATAACAAATAACAAAGATTAAAAAAAAAAATGAGGACTAATTAGATTGCAACACATACTAACAAAAATTTAAAAAAATCTAAAATGTGAGGAAAACCGATTGAAACTTTCAGCCTCAATAATAACAAAAATTTTAAAAAGTACTATATTTGAGATTACAACGAGATAACAAATAACCAAAATTTTAAAAAGTACTATATTCAAATCTATACTATATATATAATAGAATGTAGTGTTGTTCCAAAAGCTTTTAAAATACCATTATAAAATTCTCATAAATTTGAAAAATACGTGGCAACTCTCTTTTGAGTTTATAACTCTTTTCCTTCGCTCTCAAAGATTTTCATAACAATAAAAACTCTTACTCTTCCATCTTTCTCTCTTACCCTACGTTTCTTCTCTACCGTCAAAGACTTTCACTCCCACTATTCCACTATCCACAACTCCATGTAGTGTTGTTCCAAAAGCTTTTAAAATACCATTATAAAATTCTCATAAATTTGAAAAATACGTGGCAACTCTCTTTTGAGTTTATAACTCTTTTCCTTCGCTCTCAAAGATTTTCATAACAATAAAAACTCCTACTCTTCCATCTTTCTCTCTTACCCTGCGTTTCTTCTCTACCGTCAAAGACTTTCACTCCCACTCTTCCACTATCCACAACTCCTATCCATAAAAAGCTGTCAACAAAAAAAATCAAAACCTATCCATAAAAAGCTGTTACTCTCCCACCTCAAACACTTTCAATCCCACTCTCCCAGTATCCTACAACAGATAGATATAAAAAATAAAAAAAAAAAACCACCCATCTATCCATATCCCCTTAAACCATTATTTCTAACAATCCACTACTACAAATACATGTACTTCATCATTGCTGATTCATCAGCAGTGAACGCCAGCAGTCAGCCATCGAATGCAAGTCTCGGTTTTTCTTTTCCTTTTTCTTTTTCTTTTTCTTTTGCTTTAATAATTTATTTTTTGTTCCAAGCATTTGAGATTTTGTATTTTGACTACAAAGATTGCAGAAAATTGTAATGTCCATGTCTCTGTTTTTCTTTTTCTTTTGCTCTAATAATTTGTAGCATATTGTGTCCTTGAGGATATTCCTGGATTGTTTGTTCCACCAATTTTGAATTTTTATTGAAGACTCAATAGGATATATATAACTCAATCTTCTCTCCGGTTCTATATCTCTCTCCCTCATCTCCATTGAAGAATTCTATAAACACAAATCTCTCTCCTCTGCCCCACTCCATAGAGCTTAATTAAGTGCACATGGCTATTGTTTATGAAGGCAACAAACATGTCTCGGTTTCTCTTTTTCTTATACTCTGAAAATTGTGGTGCCCATGTTTCTGTTTTTCTTTTTCTTTTGCTCTAATAATTTTTTTTTTTTCAACTATTTGTGATTTTGTATTTTCATTATAAAGATTGCAGAAAAAGAAAGTGTAATTTACCCATAACTTTACGTGCAGACACAGACAGATCAGTCTAAGAAATCCAGCTGCACTTACGGTTCAAAAATTACAAGCTTAGAATAACATGCACATGGGCTGCTGAAGTTGCAGATTTTGAAACCACAAATCTTTCAAGTTTTAAGAGAATTTCAACTCAAACAACTTTCAAGCCCAATTCTGTAGATTCATTATGTTTCTTCTCATTAATGGTGTACTTTTATTAATGAAATACCTTGAATACACTTGCACAAAGACACATTTTTGTATTTATTGAGAAAAGTATGGGTTTGATTTGCTTTAGGAATTCAAATAGTGTTCATATACATTCGATTTTTGGCAAATTGTAATTTAAATTGTGTTCATATAAATTCTTTTGGTTGCAGTATTGTTCTTTTTTTTTTTCTTTTTTTTTCTTTTTTTGACATGTCTTACTTTGAGATATGGTAGGAAATGGTTTATAACGGTATTATGAGTGTTCTAATCAAAATTTAATCTTTCATGTTTTATTTTGTTTTACAAAATCCAAAATTTATATGTACATACTTGGTTTAAAAATTGGAAATATTATGTTTTGAAATAAAAATTCTACCATATTAGACATGATTTCAATTCTTTTGTTTTTCTTTATAATTTTTAATTTAAGATTAAAATTTAATTATTTTCATTACTTCTTTAATTTCTTAGATTGCAAGAATCTATTAAATTTAATACTATATTTTGTTTATGATTTTAGTGGATAAATAATTCAATAAAAAATAAAGTTTAAGATGGTTAAAAGTATATTTTGATAGGTATTTGTAGTGTTCCACCAATAAGATAATGCAAGTTTACCATTATATTAACAATACATGTTAGTTTTATTTTTATTTTATGTTATGAAAATAAAATCAATAATTTTACACATAATACAACTAAATTTATTTTGGGTGGAGTAAGGGGAAATTAATTAATTTTATGAATATTATAAAATCATAACAGGTATTAAGTTATTTGTGCATTAAACTCATAATTTTTTTAAATTTTTTTTTTAATAATTTTACACAACTTTTAAATTTACAAATAATACTCTATTTGGTTTGGACCTTTTCAAAAACAGTTTTTTGAGTTTTCAATTCGTATTTTTATATTTTTAGTGATTTTTAAAATATTTTTATTTTTATTTTTTAGATCCACTTAATCTTGATATACTTAAAAGACATAAAATTTGTACAAAAATCTTTAAAAGATTTATTGAATACAACAAAATACGAAAATGTATTGAATTTTCTTATTTTTGATTTTTTTTTTTGTATTTGGTGAATTTAAAAAAAAATCATATAAGTATTATACTTTTTAAGTGTATATCTAGAAAATTTAAAAAAACTACTTAAAATGTTTAAAAAAAATTACTAAAAAATAAAAACTTAATTTTTTAAAAAGTGACTTAAATCCAAAGTTTTATATAAGAGAAACAAAATGATTAAAAAAAAATGAGTATAATATTTATGGACAAAAAATATTTATCCCATGCATAGCATGGGGTGAGCGCTAGTTCAAATGAGATAATAATGTTATATTTAAAATAAAAAATAAAAAAATCTATATTATATTCAAATTCTAAAGAGATAACAATGAGATAACAAATGTATACTATCAGATAAATAACAAAAAATTTTAAAAAAAAATCAAAAAAATGAGTACAGATTAGATTGCGACACATTAACGGAAATTTAAAAAAATCAAAAAATAGAGGAAAAATGATTGGAACTTTCAACCTCAATAACTCCATAATGTTTTGCAATTATATATAATATAAATAGAAATTAAAAAAATTAATACAAAAAATCAGCGTGTTCTCTATATTTTTTGACAAAGTCAAAAGATACTAAAAAAATTCAATTCCAACTCTAAATATATATCTTGTTACTATTGGAATTTTTGTGTAAAGATTATATAATTACTTAATTATTAGGGAGTATTATGCATACAAAAAAAATTAATGGAAATTTTTAAAAAAATTCTAAAAATTTGTATCAATAGACTATATTGATTATGAGGCCTTTTTTGGGGACACCCCAAATAAGCTGCTTATTAGCTTATTTGTATTACATTACCTCTCTATTTTTCTGCATATTTTCTTGTAATAAGTAAAAGTCAAAAAATAAATTATACCCAAAACAATCTTGAGTGTGACTCATGTCACATTAAATTTAAATTAAAAACATGACATTTTTCTTTTACTCCCAAATAGATACTAGATCACTTCCCTATAATCATTTATACTCATAAAATTATGTTTGAATGATATGAATTTTGAAAAGAATTAGAATCTCATAATATTAAGATTATTGTTAATAAAATTTCCAGATCAATGTTATTTATGTGTTTAGCATTTGGTTTCGTTATGAATATTGACAAAATTTTAAGTCTTGCTAGTCCCATTTTATTTTTACTCTTAAATAATTAATATTTCTTGAGCAATCTATGGGAAGTAGGAGAATCAAATACTTTGTTGGGGAATATTTTTTTTTTTTGCTAAAATAAATAAACAATAATCTCTTTTTTTATTTTAATTCATTTCAAATGTTGAATTCATGATGACTCAAAATCACATTTTCATTTCCCTCAATATTCATGTCACTCAAACATAGCAAGTGACTCAAAAAAACAATAACACTACAAATTCAAAAAATTTATCAAAAAACATTAATATGTGATTGAGATTTATTTTACAAACTCCAACAATACATGCATTTAATCTCTACCAAACACTTTAATTCTTATCACAAATCTGTATTCTAGTTCTTGGACTTAATCCAAAAACAAATATTGTAAATATGGGTCCACCTTATTGGTACAAGAGTCCTAAAATGTAGAGGTGAGGTGACCTTGTATACACTCCCATTTACCGCACATTACATATGCAACATACACACTACAAACTAAGATGGTCTATCTATGGCTGATCATAAAACTCACTCGGCAAGCGTGGGGTGACCAACACTTCCAATGGAGTTGCCTTAGGCAGTGAAAGCCCTAACCCCTCACTCATATCCACTTCTTCATTCCCCGGCAGGATCGCAAGGTTGAACCCTTGTAGCAACCGAGCTAGTATCAAATGCAACATTTGATAGGTTAAGGTGTTTCCAGGGCATGACCTCCTACCAGCACCAAAAGGAAGGAGCTCAAATTGCTGCCCTTTTAAATTCGATTTTGCTTGCCACGTAAGAAATCTCTTTGGCCTGAACTCATCAGGTTCAGTCGACAAGCAAGGGTCGCGGTGGAGCTTCCAAATGTTTACTATCAAGCGAGTGCCTTTGGGGACGTAGTAGCCAGAGACATGGCAATCTTGAACAGACTCACGTGGTATGGATAAGGGTCCTGGAGGGTAGAGTCGTAATGTTTCCTTGACGATGGCTTGGAGGTAAACTAAGTTCTTGGTGTCTGATTCATCTACCCGTCGCAGTTTTCCATGTCCAATATACATATCTATTTCTTGTTGCACTGTTTTGAGGGCTGTGGGATGGTTTAGAAGTAGGGAAATTGCCCAAGTTAATGTGGCAGTTGTGGTATCAGAGCCACCTAGGATAAGCGTCTGCAAAAAAATAAAAAATAAAAAATAAAAAAATTTAATATTATGAAATTAAATTCTCAATTGAAAAGAATGTACAACAATATTACGTGTAGAAAAAAAAATACAGAGTTACACTTACAATGAATTTGAGTCACTTAATAATTTTTCTGTTATTGAGAAAAAGAATAAATTTCACTCCAGCCCATAATCTGGACTGAAGGGTACTATCCCAACTAAAATAAAATTAGAGTAATATTTATGCTACTTATTCATGCAAAGTTACTCCAGAGTCCTACCATTTGGTTTGGCTAGCTACAAAGGTTAGGATCCAGAGATTATTCCATGGTTCTCAAGGGTAGAAGGCCCTATTGCTGCAGTATTTACAAAAGGAAGAGACTTTTCTTCAATCCATTAATTGGACTGAATGGTTTAGTTGATTAATTAGATTAGAGGTCCAGATGAGGTGATTGTGGGCTTCCAGTTGAGTTAAATTAAGTTTATTTAACTCTTAAACTTAATTTTGGTGGAGCCCTAACTCTATTCTCTCTGTTCGAAAAGACTTTCTGCTCAATTTTAATATCCACATTAATAATTACACTATTTTTTATTTAAAAAATTAAATAAAAAAATTAACTTTTACTTCAACCTTTTTGTGGGCCAACTCTCCAAACATGAGCGATACAACCTCCGTCAATTTGGATGAAAATTATGACAGTTGTACTTTAGTACAAAATTACAAGGCCATATTTGAATCATAAAGGGACAAAATGCTCCTATCCTTAATTATAATGGGATAAATTAAATTTTATTTTAAAATAAATAATCTATTATCAAGATCATAATTACTATATATATATTTTTAGCAAATATAATCAAATTATATAAATATTAATATTTAATTAATTTATTTTTTCATATGAATTATTTAGATTTAAAATAAGTGGGTTATAAAGTCCTCTTAACGTTTTGCAATAGTAAGTATGGAGTACAGATATATAGATAACAAAAATTTAAAAAACCAAAAAATCTATACTGTATTCAAGTTTAATGAGATAACAAATAACACTTAGAAAACAAATAACAAAGATTAAAAAAAATGAGGACTAATCAGATTGCAACACATTCTAACAAAAATTTTAAAAAATCTAAAATGTGAGGAAAAACAATTGAAACTTTCAGCCTCAATAATAACAAAAATTTTAAAAAATACTATATTTGAGATTACAACGAGATAACAAATAACCAAAGTTTTAAAAAAGTACTATATTCAAATTCAAATGAGATAACAATGTTATATTTAAAATAAAAAAATCTATATTACATTCAAATTCTAATGAGATAACAAATGTATACTATCAGATAACAAAAATTAAAAAAAAATTTCAAAAAAATGAGTACCGATTAGATTGCAACACATTAACGGAAATTTAAAAAAAAAAATCAAAAAATTGAGGAAAAATGATTGGAACTTTCAACCTCAATAACTCTATAATGTTTTTCAATTATATATATTATAAATAGAAATTAAAAAAATTAATACAAAAAATCAACGTGTTCTCTATATTTTTGACAAAGTCAAAGATACTAAAAAAAAGTCAATTCCAACACTAATATCTTGTTACTATTGGAATTTTTGTATAAAGATATTATAATTACTTAATTATTAGGGAGTATTATGCATACAAAAAAAATTAATGCAAATTTTTAAAAAAATTCTAAAATTTTTTATCAATAGACTATATTGATTAAGAGGCTTTTTTTGGGGACACCCCAAATAAGCTGCTTATTAGCTTATTTGTATCACACCACCTCTCTATTTTTCTACATGTTTTCTCATAATAAGTAAAAGTCAAAAAATAAATTATATCCAAAACAACCTTGAGTGTGACTCATCTCACATTAAATTTAAATTAAAAACATGACATTTTTTTTTTACTCCCAAATAGATACGAGATCACTTCCCTATAATCATTTATACTCATAAAATTATGTTTGAATGACATGAATTTTGAAAAGAATTAGAATCTCATAATATTAAGATTATTGGTAATAAAATTTCCAGATCAATGTTATTTATGTGTTTAGCATTTGGTTTCGTTATGAATATTGACAAAATTTTAAGTCTTGTTAGTCCCATTTTATTTTTACTCTTAAATAATCAATATTTCTTGAGCAATCTATGGGGAAGTAGGAGAATCAAATACTTTGTTGGGGAATAAATTTTTTTTTTTTGCTAAAATAAATAAACCGTAATCACTTTTTTATTTTAATTCATTTCAAAGGTTGAATTCATGATGACTCAAAATCACATTTTCATTTCCCTCAATATTCATGTCACTCAAACATAGCAAGTGACTCAAAAAAACAATAACACTACAAATTCAGAAATTTTCTCAAAAACCATTAATATATGATTGAGATTTATTTTACAAATTCCAACAATGCATGCATTTAATCTCTACTAAACACTTTAATTCTTATCACAAATATGTATTCTAGTTCTTGGACTTAATCCAAAAACAAATATTGTAAATATGGGTCCACCTTATTGGTACAAGAGTCCTAAAATGTAGAGGTGAGGTGACCTTGTATACACTCCCATTTACCGCACATTACATATGCAACATACACACTACAAACTAAGATGGTCTATCTATGGCTGATCATAAAACTCACTCGGCAAGCGTGGGGTGACCAACACTTCCAATGGAGTTGCCTTAGGTAGTGAAAGCCCCAGCCCCTCACTCATATCCACTTTTCCATTCCCCGGTAGGATCGCAAGGTTGAACCCTTGAAGCAGTCGAGCTAGTATCAAATGCAACATTTGATAGGCTAAGGTGCTTCCAGGGCATGACCTCCTACCAGCACTAAAAGGAAGGAGCTCAAATTGCCGCCCTCTTAAATCCACTTCTGCTTGTGACGTAAGAAATCGCTCTGGCCTGAACTCATTAGGGTCAGCCCACAAGCGAGGGTCGCGGTGGAGCTTCCAAATGTTTACTATCAAGCGAGTGCCTTTGGGGACGTAGTAGCCAGAGACATGGCAATCTTGAATGGACTCACGTGGTATGGATAAGGGTCCTGAAGGGTAAAGTCGTAGTGTTTCCTTGATGATGGCTTGGAGGTAAACTAAGTTCTTGGTGTCTGATTCATCTACCCGTCGCAGTTTTCCATGTCCAATATACATATCTATTTCTTGTTGCACTGTTTTGAGGGCTGTGGGATGGTTTAGAAGTAGGGAAATTGCCCAAGTTAATGTGGCAGTTGTGGTATCAGAGCCACCTAGGATAAGCGTCTGCAAAAAAATAAAAAATAAAAAAATAATTTTTTTTTTAACTGTTAATGAAATTAAATTCTCAATTGAAAAGAATTACAACAATATTCGGAGTACAGATAAAAAATAAATACAGAGTAGGCACTTACAATTTTCTTGTTATACCAGTCATATGATATGATAATTTTTTTGTTTAATCAGTCATAAATACAGAGTACACTTAACAATATTACGTGCACAAAAAAAATAAAAAGGCATGCCATATGATAAATTTTTTTGTTATTGGAAAAAGAATGAACATTTCACTCCGGACCCGCCATAATCTATGATAGAAGGGTAACTATCCCACTCCAATAAAATTAGAAGAATATTTATGCTACTTATCATGTAGTTTCTCACAGGTCCTACTATTGGTTGGAAAATGTCTCGTAGTTCAAATTTTGTGACTCAAAGTGGCTCAAATGGTTCAAACGACGTCGTTTTGGCCATTTTATGTTGTATCTGTATTCCAAAACGACGTCGTTTGGCCATTTTGAAGCCACCTTTTGAGTCACAAAATTTGAGTTACGTAAGCATTGGTCGTATTTGGTTTGGCTACTAGCAAACGGTTAGGATCGCAGAGACTTTTATTGGACTGAAAGGTGTAGTTGATTCATTAGATTAGAGGTCTAGTTGAAGCCTCATTTGGGATAAAGATTGAGGCTTAAAATAGTCCAAGAAATGATACATGCAACACTTCAAATTATAAATTATTTTTAATTTTTTTTCTTCATAAAAATAAAAAAAAAAAATTAAAACACCTATTCATAACAAAATTTTTTTAATTACCTCCATGTTAAGTAACTAAAAAATAAACTCATAAATCCAAAAACAAACTGAGGTGATTGTGGGATTCTTAGATGAGGTTTAACAAACGCCTGAGGCGAATCGGGAGAGAGAGAGGTAAGGACGAGGAGAGCGAAAATGGAAGAGGAATGTTATGCGAAGGGTGTCGTTCTGGAAAGGAAGAGGGAATTGAGAGGTCGGAAGCCAAAGAACGAGATGAAAGAGTGTTTTACTCACGCATGATTGTTTGCCTTTTCGATCTTGTCTGTTTGGTTGAATGCTAAATTATTCCAAGAATCTTTGCACTTTTTTTTTTTTTTCCCAATTTTGATATATTCCATATTTAAGAATGCACAATTAAATAAGTTCAGATCTGGAGTGCAATTTGTCTCTCTTAAGCTCAGCGCCTCCATAAAATCTGGGAAACAATTTCTTTGTATTTTGCATATATGTAAATCGTGTTTTTTTGAGTTAAAAGAAGATAAACTGTGGTACTGTGTTTTTTACCCACAAAGTTAATCTTTTAGCACTATATTTTAGCAATTTATGTGATTTTTTTTTTATTTTTTTTAATCACATCACTTCTCTATTTTTTTTAAAATTTTTTTAAAAAAATATTTTTTTTAAAAAAAACTTTTAAACTTATCTCTACGAAAGAAATAAAGCTTTGGACGCCCCAGTGGGGGTAACTGGGGTCAGCCTCCATTGGTCCAAAAAAAACAGTTTTTTTTTTTTTTTTTTTTTTTGAGTTTTTCCAGGCCAACCGCCAGGCCGACACGTGGCAACTCGGGGGTCACTGGGGGTACCATCCCCAGTGGGGGGTCTTGTAGCAATTGCTGTCTCTCGGAAATAAGTTATAATTGACTTTTACTAATAGCCTTTTTGTGGGCCAACTCTCGCAAATTTCAGCATGTTATACAACCTCGTCAGTTTGGATGAAATTATGACAGTTTGCACTTTGGTTACAGAATCTACAGAGGTCAATATTTGAATCATAATGGACAAAATGTCCTTACCTCACTTTCGTAATTTTTTTAATTGTTTTTTAAAAATATTTTTTTAAAAAAAAAAACTTTTAACTTTATCTCTCAAATAAAGTTATAATTGAACGTTTACTGTCAGACCTTTTTGTGTGGCCAACTCTCCAAACATCGAGCATGATACAACCTTCCGTCATTGGATGAAAAATTATGACAGTTTGCTACTTTGTAGCAAAATACAAGGTGCATATTTGAATCATAAATGGACAAAATGCTCCCCTATCCTAATCATAAGGGATAAATTAAATTTTTATTCTTTCAAATAATAATCTATTAATCAATGATCAATAATTACTATACATTATATATTTTTAGACAAATATACATCAATTATATAAATAACTAATATTTAATTATTACTTTTCATATGATTATTTAGATTTAAAATAAGAAGTGGTTATCATATTTATTTTAAACATGAAAAAAAAGATTATATTTATATGTAATGTTCACTTTGAATGTAATGCAAATAATTTGGGCACAGCCAATTTAATGGCAGGCTGCAAATAAGACTTAAGAATATAATTGTACGGTAGCCATTAATGTAAAGGCTGAATAAAACTTACAACATGATTCATCCACCTAAAAAAATAGCACAATGCATTAAAAAAGTAAAAAAAAAAAAAAAAAAATACAACTCCAAGACCAAAACATCATATCATTTAATGACGGGACCCCATGGCCATCTAATTAGTGGGAGCACTAATTGTGGCTCCAAGCATTTTTCTAAACTAAGAAGTGATTTGACATAACACTTGACTTAGAGTCAAGGTAGCCCAGTTCTATGACATACATTAGAAGTTCAAATTGACCTCCTTAGCTTCGCTAAGGCTGGTTTACCGGACAAGTCAGGAGGGTTTTTTTAATAGTTAAAAGCGAAAGTTTTATTAAAATATGAAATTAAGTATAGGAAAGATACAATATATTAAAAGAGGTTTGGACAATATAAATATTTTTACTATTTTATTACACTCATATAACTAATCCCTCGACTCACAATTTTTTTAAAACAAAAAATAAACCAAGCAAGATCAAAACAAATTTTAACAGTTAAAAAGGACTTACTACCAAAAAAAAAAAAAAAAAAAATTTGAAGCCCCAAAGTCAAACCACATATCCAAAAAACACACTCTTAACTCCCAAGCATGAGTCCGGATCCTCTCCTTGAGGAGGGTCCTTCATTTCCCTGCTTGAAACGGCTAAATGAGCCGTTGGTCATCCAATCGGCTGAGATTATATAAAAAAAAATCAAAAATGAAATTTTCGGACATCTCCCGCCCAAGACAAACGCACAGCTCTCACGCCGCAAACACAGCTCACAATCTTACAGCCTACACTCATCCCATTCCTCCGTCGAACCCACCCTCACCGAGACTCCAATACCGCGCGACCACGGTCGACGTCGTTGCAAATGCCGACGACGTACCCATCTCAAATCGCGGACTCATGCAACACACACTCACCGACCATCACAAACTGTTTTGCAAAATCGATAATAATTATAAGCCGATCTTTGTCACCATTATAATCGAGAAATCCGTAGCCATACGATTTCCTAATCTGTCTCTATAATTATATAGGTGTATGAGTGAAACAATTGATCTCTCTTGCTCCTCTTCTCTGTTTTTAGACCAAGAACTCTGCAAAAGGGTTTTGTTTGAAAGGTGAGTTGTGGATAGAGATTTAATGTCGGCAGAGTCTGAATCGGCGTGATTGGGGCTTCAGT